TCGGTACGAGGCTTGCACCAGGTATTACCCTTGTTGACTTTTTTCTCCTTTTTTATGATGACTACCGCTACCCTTCTTTTTCGGTCGGGATGGTGCCATAAAACTGATAAACTAAGAACATGGAAATTGCTTCCGTGATGAGCAGTGGAATTTCGCCCCGTTTACGTGAAATGGTACTTCGTGAAAAACCCGATATGCAGTAGTCGTGAAATATACTCCTCACTAGTGTTTTTCATACCACTAGGGTGAAACTCCAGTGATCATGTTGGCAGTTTTTGGGTGGAAACAGAATCATACACTTGTTAGATTTTCGCAGTATTTCTTCTGCATTGTGCCGTTGTCAACCAAAACGGTTGTCCCTTGTTCGGCGAAAGATGATAAAGTTCTTATGTGTGGTTCTGTTTGAAGTTTTGGAGGAGTTGTGTTATTATGTCGGAGTACAAGGCTGGCTATGGTGACGACTCCCTCGATGGACACTCTGGTTGAGTATCCGACGGCCACATCTCAGAGAAGGCTCATGGTAGTAGCCATCTCTGAAATGACAGTGTCCTCAGATCGCCCGAGCTTCTATCGTACCGCACGACGGCCTTGAAAAAAGGGTAGCAGAAAACAAGCGGCTTTTTCTTGACGGAAAAATATCCTCCGTGGGACTCGAACCTGCGCGGGTCCACTGCGCTGAATTGTTGAAATTAAATTTATCTACACCATTTCCCGTGCAAGTTTGACAAGTGAGCAGACAAGAATGACAATGTTACCATCAAGAGTGACAATGAGAATCCAAGTTTGTCACAATTAAGTTCTGTTACAATCAAGTTTGACTTTGAGAATTCAAGTATGTCACAATCGGGATATGTTACCATCAAGATTGACAATGAAAATCCAAGTTTGTCAAAGTTCAATTATGTTACAATCAAGATTGACAGTGAGAATCCATGTTTGACACTTGTTTCCTCAGTTACAACCAAGTTTGACAGTGAGAATTCATGTTTGACACCGGCAGAATATGTCAAAATCAAGAATGACAATAAACCATACAAGTTTGACAATACGCACACAAGTTTGACAATACGCATCCAAGTTTGACATTGAAGAGGGTTTCTTTGTGATCAAAGCCTATATCAAGGAGAAGTTGAGTGAGAGGGACCCCATAACAGATAGGCAGAGAGCTGAAGAGCAACAAATGCTCTTATACCCGGACCGGGAAGATATGCTGCGAGGAATGTGTGACGATATTGCAAAAGCTTACCACTGACAAGATAAGAGACATGTATAGGCTATCGGATACTTGGGTAAACAAAGGGAATCAAGGGGTCGCTTTTTGAATTCTTTCGATGTCATCCCAAGTTTACGTAGAGCTCTCGATGACTCGGGAGCCTCCTTACTATGTAATGCGTGTGATTTTTTAAGTGAGCAATCAGTTTGAACCGTATGTCAACATGTCAAGTTGAAGTGTCAAACTTGGATGCGTATTGTCAAACTTGTGTGCGTATTGTCAGACTTGTATGGTCTATTGTCATTCTTGATTGTGATATATTCTGCCGTTGTCAAACATGAATTCTCACTGTCAATCTTGATTGTAACATAATTGAACTTTGAAAAACTTGGATTTTCATTGTCAATCTTGGTTGTTACAAAATAGAAAAGTGGCAAATTTGGATTCTCATTGTCAATCTTGATTGCAACAAATTTAGATTGTGGCAAACTTGGATTCTCATTGTCACTCTTGATGGTAACATTGTCATTCTCGTCTGCTCACTTGTCAAACTTGCACGGGAAAAGGTGTAGTTACTGGTATTGAGGGTGTGCCCTACTTGGAAGAGTGAATCAGATAGGTAATGCCTTATAGGATATCACTTGAACACTACATAGAGAGGCGGGAAGTAACTCTGAGGATATTAAGAATAATAATATGGTCTATAATGGAGTAACCAAACAGCCAAGTAAACCACGACCTGACCATTCACGTGGTCTTAACTCCACTTTAACAATTCTAAAACCATCCAATGTAGGACGCTGTATCTCCACGAATAATGATGAGTCCGAAGAAGCCTGATAAGAACCGATAGAATGCTATAGACTCAGGTCATCACTGAATATACTTACTGCTGTTTGAACTCTAGAAGGGAGGTCACCAAGCCTCTTAGCACCACCGAAGTCGACTATTCGATCACCATCTAGAAGGCCTGCCTCAGCTGCTGGTGATCCTGGAGCCACCTAAACGTGATGAAAATAATAATGATAACAGCAACACAGATATCGGGGATACCCGTACGAACATGTTCTATGTTCCGTACGACCATAGGGCGCTATCTATCACTGCTATTACACGCGATTAGCATGCTCAATACTACTACCTCGCTAACACATGCAAAAGGATGATCTGATGTCATTATCACTCCATCATTTGGTACATTGATATGCCTTCGGGAAGAGGATACACCATTCGAAGTATTGTTTGACCGCTCCCCCTTGGTGATAGTTCCAGTATCTCTATACAATATACGATAAGGCGTTATGCTGCACCAACATAAGACTATGGTACTGATTACCGAGCTATCTGGTGAAGGCTTTCTAGTCCCTTCTCCAATGAATTCATCACCTCCTTTAGGTCATTCTCGAGTCGTGTTAATCTCTGACGACCTAATACAGCTATGTATAGTGACCGGCAGCAGCAGCATCATGATGATGATGACTATGATGTTAGTACTAGAGGTTATGAGGTAATGGTCTATATCACCCCTCGGGAAGCCTTCACTGTCAAGGAGGCTACCATTACGACCAACCTATCATTCACTAATATACACAGATATATGCTCTACTACAGACCTGTTGGTAGGCAGATGATGAATTGAATACTGCCCAAATCTGATCTATCTCCTTCTCTATGGCATCCTTCCTTACCATTAGGTGTCTTATCTCAGCCATAGCTTCATCATCACTAGATACCGTCATCATTAAACTGATGAATACCCTAATACCAAACGTATTAAGCTAGTATTAACACAAGTCCTAGTCACTACGAAGAAGAAACCATCTGTTGATGTTATTGTTGATGTTCAACCAAGCACCCTCTTCTTCCCAATGTGTTGCCTACCACCCTCACTAACATTATTATTAATGTTACCACCACCACCACCAGCAGCAGCATTAGCAGAGCCTTTAACAGTATCTACCCCCAATCCTGTATGATCATAATGTTATATACCATATTACCATTCACAGCTAACTCCAAGGATGGAAAGGTTTCCCCTTCTAACTTCAATTCCTCAGAGGTCATGAAGCTCCGACTAATAAACCAACGTGTTAGTTCATCCACTCGCTGTATGAATCGACCTGCTGCAGTACTCGATGCTTTTGGACCACGATACTTAACGCACTGAACAGCAGGAGGAGGATATACAGGTTATGATAGAGGATTATGACAACAACGTACGACAACATCATCAGTCACTTTGATGACAAGGGAATCATTAGCTCGCTTCCGTTTAAGTTGATATCGTGTCTAAAGTAGATGTGTATTAAATAGTAGGAGGTTCCTATATAACCTTATTAGGTTGTTGTATAAATACTTGCCTTGCTGCACTCTGGAAATCATCCCAATCCTCGAAGTATACCATACGGGAAGGGTCTACAAAGGAAAAACTAATGACTAAGAAATACGACCCTATTGAGAACTATAATCATGATGAACATCTATAATAATAGTGGTAAACTGTTGTTGTTGTTGTTGTTGTTGTTGTTGTTGTTGTATGCCCTCCCACTCATCACAATAGCCACATGTAGTACCAATAAGACCACATCACTCGTGAACGTGTGTTACATACGTCTACTACTACGTCTACTCCTACCGTAGTATGCGGTTTACATTGTCAACTTTTCAACGTCCTCCACCTATGGAGCCCATACTACCAATATTCCCAGTAGCAGTGATGATTCCATAGTTTCGTGCAATCGTGCAAGAAATATGCCGATGAACAACACCGCGATCCTGGGAGCCCTTGCATAGAACTCAGGAGAGGCGGTCTATTGAACCTGAGTATTATTATTGAATTGAAGCTGTTTAGAGGTAGTATCAGGTATTGTTCCGCCCGTATCTCTGTGGGGGGATCTGTTTATTTGTTTCACTGGTTATTAAGGCTGCTGTTGATGATGAACTACGTTTCACTTGTGACTCGTATAATCTACCATGTTAAACATGTATAATTCTATTTCTAACAAAAGGTAAGTATCATCGGGGGTTTGGATGTATATACAGAGGTACTAATCTATGATCATACTAAACCAATCCATTATGGTCCTTACTAGGATGTACTATACAGGATGTATGCCGGGACTAACGACCTTACAGAGGGATGGGAAGGGCTGCTTTGGGGGTATATAAAGAGTGTCAACACTAGGGCAGGGGGCCCAGCTGACCATCTACTCATGTGGCAAACACATATGTGGTGGATCAAACCCTATGATGAGGATGCCTACTACAGGTGAGAGGTAACCTATCGTTATGGTAACCTTTGAAGAAAAGATTGGGACTATATCAGAGACTGTTAGTGATGAGGTTAGATGGATATATGAAACCTCTAACCCACCCCCAATACAGTAATGATTACTATACAGGTAAATACTGGTATAAGACAGGGTATGGAGTAGTAGTAGTAGGGTATAGACAGTGATTATGATGGTATGGTATTAAGAAGGGTTATTAATGACTACTTTATCTGCGTTACTACTACTACCACTCCCACTTGCCGAATCACATCTTAATCTAAAGACATGCCTCATAAGCACTAAAGCGGTTCATAACACACATCCTCTTATCATCATCATTGAGTCACTAGCTCATGGTCGAATAATCAGATTAGAATCCCTTCGTTACTACCTAACTTTAGACATCTGTTTCATCATGTTCACGACAATGTTCACGACAATGTTCACGACAATGTTCACGATATCCACCAATTCCCTCACCTCTATTATTCCGATTGGTGTTGTTGTTGTTGTGATAACCGTGTTGTTGTTGTTGTTAGAGTGTTTCTTAACTACAACCATAATGTCTATGAGGAGGTATACTCATCATCCTAACTGCTCTCATCATTATTACTATCATAATGGTATAGAAGAGTATGATCACAAGAGTGTTGCTACGATATGTTCATCATCATCATCGACTAGTGTAGAATCATCGCCTCTATCATCATCATCATCATCAAGAAGAAGAAGTACCAGTATGACTCCAGTGAGGTTCAGTCGTGATGTTATCGAGATGAAGTATTACAAGGATGATCCACCAAGGAGGATATCTCTATATAAGACTTGGGGTTTAATAATAATACTAACACGAATACTTCACTAGTATCACTCTAGTTACTCTTGGTAGGCTTATGAACAACAACAACAACAACAACACCGAACAGCAGCAGCAGCAGCAGCAGTAGCTTCCTCAGATTTTGGAGTATCATTTTATTTTTGGGATCATCACCCAATTGTAGATTAGTTGAGCAATTATAGATTATGCCTTTTTATCCTACTCATGATGATAGTGCTACTAACTCAGTCAGCACCTGAACCCTACAGTGTGAGCCATACAGTAGTGAGTACAACATGGGAGTATTCCGATTCCTGATCCTAAGGACTATTGGTATTATTAATCTACTACTACTACAGGCTAGGAGCTCTATCCTAATCTATCCGATGCTTTGTGTTATTATTACCATAAGTTATGATGGTGTAGTATACATAACCCTTCATGGTCCTACTCAAAGAACATGTTAATACATACTCTCCGTTTAAAGCTGCAGTAGAGGAGGATGTCAAGTGTCCCTCTGCACATATACTAGCTCTAGTAATCTTCATAGCAGCCATAGCTCTATACAGTACTATTACTTTCATAAGGTTTGCTAGACAGGTAGTAGTAATAGTAGGACAGTGTCGTCGTCGTTGGTATGTAAATGGTGGTGATGATGATATTGTTGAATAGGTACCACAAGAGGAAGTATCTTTGGAGGATATAGCCAAGTTTCGGCCAATGGATATATTCGTTTACTTCCAATGTGATAGGAGTGATGGATGTGTTGGCCCATGGGAGGTTTATTGGAATTATGATATTAAACGGTAATATGCAACTTTGAGGTAAGTTAATATACTTCCTATCATATAGTTTTCCAAATTGTGCTACTGTGTATCCTCCTTCAATACGTTACCTTAATCCTGTTAATGGTACTCTCAAGGTATGCCCTACCATTAACTCACCTATCAGCCCTAATGGTAATAATAAGAAACAGCAGTACCAGCTTCGTGTCGTCGTCTACACTGTGTATGCTGCTTAGGTGCATTTGTTAGGATCAATTGGATTGATAGTAGCTCTGAGAATGGTGGAGAGGTACTATCCATCACAAGGAACTGTTCTTATTAATACTCTCATCAGCCGGGACGAGCATTTATTGGTCTACAAACTCCCGATAAAGATGGTCATCCAGCGGGAGAGATCTCTTGGGTTGAGGTTAGTACCAATACATCATGCTCGTTCCCCTCTTCATGTGTAGTAGATTCAATTCGGCCATTCCAAGTTTGTAACGGTGGGTCTTACTGTTAGGAAGGATAAAGGCAGTGATGGAACTACAGCTGAGGTGATACCCGATACTAGTAGTAGTCCTTTGAACATATCTCTGCAGCTACCACGATTAGATGGAGTCTCATATAGTGGTAGGAGTAACCTATCGGATACCTCTGGAGGTATGACTACTGTCCTTCTCTTGTGGTATCCCTGTCATCATCATCATAGTAGGTTCAGCTGACCTACACTTCACTACTTCACAGTTTGCAACGGTTGTGACTACCGGACTGGCGTTATCTATATCGGATGTACACATTGAAGTGGCTCTTGTTACTGGCAAGTTATTCGTTTAGGTTCTTGCACTCATAGGAGGTTTTGCCGGTTTCATATTCCCCATTATAGCAACGGCTACTGTTCTTTTGGAAATTGCCTATTTGAAATTTGCTAAGCGAAGAGAACCAGATGAAGAGGATATCTCCAATGACAGAGGTATAGAGGTGGATGAAGACGTTGATACCGAGTCGATAAAGGTGGTTGATATACCCACACAGACTATCCGTCAATCTTGATTGGACGACACAACACTTCTCTTGCAGAACTCTGCCGAGTTCGACGCAAGAACAGGTGTTCTTCTTCTTCTTCCTTTTATCATTACTAGATTGATCGCTACTATTTGATCTAACCATAAAGCCTGTTGGCCAACTCTGTTGTTGAAATCTCAAGTAATTCCCGAGGGTATCTGTCATGTGATGTAGGACTCTGTTTCCGCCACCTAATATCAACTTTAATGAGTTCGTAGTATAGAGTCAGGGACAACTGGAGTTGAACCGGGGTTTCCGAATATGACATCATCGCTCGATAATAAAGGTGAAAGAACTATCTGGACATACCACTTAGAGTGTGGAGATACCAATAGACAACTTCCCTAAGAACTAACACGACAATAACAGTACCCAGGAAAATACACATCATTAATACACTCCCTCGAATGCAACAGAACCAATGCGATGAGCCGAAACGATTCATCAACAACGTTAAATTCATTTGTCCATGTCCTTATGTCTCTTCTCAGTCGTCCCCTCCTCGACAGCCACTGCAGTGCCATAAACCATAACCTCACATGCGTTGGCTGCAATATTAGATGAATTGAATCTTACACCGACCACAGCGTTCCCTCCTTTGGAGAGTGTCGCCTGAAAGGGTAGTTCCTATGTTGAGCTGTATACATCCTAAGACGCTTGTAGTTGTTGGACTACCTCTTTCATTCTGTCTATTGCCTCTAGACGACTCTCATGCATCAATGTTGTGTATTGGTCCAATTCCCCACCAAATAGGCTTTGGAGGCCCGAACGTATATCTTTAATGGCATCACGTGTTCTCACTGTACCTACTACCATTATCAATGTTCGACATACCCCTGTCTAGACCTACTTCCACTCACTAGACCGATACTTTTCATTATCCTATACCCTGGTATTGTTGACGATGTGCTCATTACAAGGACGTCATTAAGGAGGACACGCCCCCCACCATAGAATACCATATAGGCGTTATGTCAACAACTGAAGAGCAGTCCAAGCCTGGTAGTCATAATAGGCCCGAGGAAACCCAAACAGTGCAACTATTTGTCAATGGAAAGGCGAGCGCGGTTGTTCTTCGGATCCGCGGAGATTCGTCAAATTATCGCCTATCTTCGCTGATCTGCTTTTCTTAATTCCTCCTCCTCCTTCTGTATTCTTAATTGACTACTTCCTTGTCCTCCACCTCCTGTTCACACTCATCATCATCACCTTTGAGTGTGGTCCAGTTAACTGCAGATTGTGGTACCGCACCCAGTGTACTCGGTATTAGACCTAATATACTACCACCATTACCACAGGGAAGAGAAGAAGAAGAAGGCATTGAGGTAGTCATACTCATTACATCCTATTACTACTACTCAGATAGGATTCGTATCACGTGGTACCTGGGCTGCTAATACTGGACTACAGGCTGGGGATAGGATAACTCATGTAAAGCTGATATAATGGTTGTAGGCTGCTGCTGCTGCTAGGTAATACCATTCATAGGTTAATGGCATTCATGTGGCTCATTTCGACGACCCATATGCCTTCGTGAGAGCTATGCAACAACGACCACTGAGGTTAACGGTAGGTGGACCTCCTTTCAATACATTATCACGGTATAGTACTAGGTTGAATTATTGGACCCAGAGGCGGATATGGCTTGGAAGAATGCATGCCGGGAGAGAGGGATTAAAGATGATCAGGTCAAGGTGGCGGCTGCTCGGAAAGCTCGAGAGCTGATCGACCAGGATAGAGCTGAGGAAAGGAGGAAGCATACAGACTCTACCTTTAACAGATTATTCGGCTGCTCTCCTGAACTCACATCAGATCATCCTTCTATCACACAAGGGGAGGCCGATACACCTCTTAGTCCATTATTCCGAGGGTATAAGCATATTAGGGATAGGGGTTATCGATATCACACATCAGTTACAACTGGGTGGGCAGTAGCCCCTATACTGGGGTAAGGTCTCCTTCCAAGGCTACTTCGGATAGGATAATCAATGCCATGAAGAAGAGAAAGAATAATAATAAATCCCGTCCATCACCCGATGAGTTTATCATGAATGATCATTTATTAAAGGTCATCATCATCAATACCATAACTCCTCCTCATCATGACTATTCCTCATAGGTACCCCCTCGACGGCCCTTCACCCTATGGGTACATATTGCATCAGCTCTGGGGTTACCTACCCAATCAGCAATACTGGACTTGGCAACATTCTGGCAACCACTATCTGTTCATCCTTTTGTTGAAGTCTTTGTCATGAAATGTCCATCTATAGGAGGTATTACGTGTGAGATGGTAATAGTAGTAGTACTATTTCGGAGTACTATTCCCACTATGTGCTACAGGCACGAGAAACCCTTGACGCTGGTCAGGCCCTTGCACTCTGTCGTAGTGGCGTCAATCGTTATGGTAAATGGATGAATACCTTTGAATTGAAGTTACCCGAAGATTATCATACACTAGAGGATCTGGCCTTATGCCTAATGATCAGGTATGATGATAGTAGTAGTGTTATTATTGGATCTATGAAGCATTGCCTTCTACTTTGATAGGGATGAACGACTACTATCCAATACTCCTAGGGATATTGGTATGATAGCCATACGATTGGTAGATATTGAGGTTATCCGTCTACCCACATCATCATCACAGAAAGAATCATTAGATTTAGTAAAGCGTGAGAGAGAGCTTTTGTCGATGGACATTATGGGAGGGCAAACTCAGGTATTGTTACACCTACTATGATGAGGAGGTATGTAGTTTTATTCAATTGTAGTACTTTGAGGAGTTCACGGCTAAGATGCTATTCTGGGCAGTACTATTGGGTGAGGGTGAAGAAGAGGAGGAAGAAGAGGAGGAGGGGAGTAAATACGGCAAGTTAGCATCAACTTTGGATATAATGCACACCGAAACTAGCCAGCGAGAGAGGGCTTTCAGGACAAACTGGACTGCTGCTGCTGCTACTACCGAGGAGGTAGTAGTAGTAAGGGTCAGTCGTCTATGGTCATGAGGTTGTATGTTATTATTATTAGAGTATTACGCCACCTGTAGAGCAAGGCATGCCATCATCATCATCATCGAGTCGTGGACTTCCCTTTGAAGAATCATCACCATGGTTAAGCGCCCTTAAACATGAACGAGACTATGCTAGGGAGATAGATAGAAAGCAGCAACAGCAGCATAAAGGGGATGTCGACAAGAACAGCATTACATGACCTTAATGATGGCACTTGATCATTGTTTAGTTGTGTTGGAGTATTTACACCCAACCACGACCACCACCGCCACCATACCTCAGTGCCTGTCCTCCTCATCATCGTGATCATGGTTCTTGCGGCTACATTCATCCTACACAGCATCATCCTCTACAGATAATAGTTTGGCTCTACTTTGGTAGTAGTGATCGCCCGCTACATCACCATAAGGAGGCATCAGTGTCTTGGTGGGGTGATAAGACTGAGGAATGTAGTGTGCGGACTATTATCGTACTACTACCACTACTTGTTGCGGAGGAACAATCAACATTCGACGACGATGACGATGATCATGATGAATATGGATAGACAGAATTATGTTGGTAAAATGCACACTGAACGGAATATTAACGTCGATACTTCACCCAGTCATCATTTGATACTCTCATTTGATTAACAGCACCAACACGTAGTTATTCAAGATTAGCAGCACTACTACAGTAGTTGTATTATGAGCTAGGGGTTGTGTATGCGTGCAGATATATGGTGTTGGGTGAACAACTCTTTTGTGGTACAAATATCTATCAGTCTTATAAGTTTATCTCTGAGCAAATCCATTGAGTATGACCATTCATAAGTCTGACAGAGTTGAAGGCATCTCTGTCGGCCAGATACGTGGTCTATATCCATTGACCTTTACTCTACTGTGTGCTGGTAGTAAGGCTTTCACTGGTACGTCATAGAGTTCATCAAAGGTCTACAGTATTCCGATCAGGCTTCCTCAATGATCACTATTGGGTCCATCCTTGTAGTATTGATGGTATTGTGGAGCCTATAATAAATATATAGTGATCACCTTGGCAGCCGTACTTGTAAGGTATACTCTTACGGTCAGAAGATTGATCAATATGTTTACTGTTATAGTTATTACGCTCTTTGTATTTATTGTATTTGCTCACCTTCTAGTCATTGGAAAGACGCTTTAGAGTAGATGAACTAGCCTATTGTAACACAACTGATGTACTTGGTAATTGGTGATGACACATCGAGTGAGACCGGGATCAGCACCACAGAGTGTGTGGGGTAGAGGATCAGAGGAGAGGGTGATCTAGGTAACGATGATTTCGTTAATCCTGAACTACTCCCTAGTACATAAGGGTGGGTGATATTCTCCTCATTCGATAAATGTTGACACAACAATCGGTCATGGAGGTCGACCTCTTCATTATATAATGGTATGCATAAGGTGTTCACGTGCTGAAGCCGACTGTACACTACAGAATGCACTTGGAAGGTACGTGCTACTGTTACTCGATATGGGAGACCATACGCCCTTCCATGTCAGTCATGGTAATGATGTGGTAAATGATAATCAATCAGAGGTAAGGAATAGTAAGATGTTCGTTGTAAGATGTAAGATGTAATAGTAAGATGTAGTAAGATTCTTGAGGGATTCGAGACCTTCAAGTCAAGAGCATGATTTTGAGTAGTATGGACACTCCCAGTTGCATACATGAGTTAATATCGACTTGGTGATGTTCCTTCATTTGTGTTGTTACTATCAACGACAACATCACTATTAGACGTGAATTGAGTTCTGGTAAGCTTGAGACGGAAAACAACGACTGGATCGTAGTGTGATCCAAATTGATAGAATGGAGACGGAAAACTCATCGCCAGGTACTGTTAAGGCTTTCGACATGATCGATGACATTATTATTATGGTCAACAGCCGTAAGACTAATTTTACCATTACTATCAGCTATAGTATACCATACGTGATGGTCTATTCCTGACTTGACGAGATGATCACTTGTCACTAAGGAGTCCACAGTTGGTAATATGGGACCTGAAGTACCCCATTTACCGTCTCCAACATAGATAACTCCATTAGTAGCTATACTGTTATTAATCATTGGCATGGTCCTTTTGAAAGTATGAGCATGATGCTCATAACATACTTTGAAATAATACTTATCAAACATCATTGAAGGCCAATAACGCTTCATGGGTTCATTCCTGTTATCATCCTCCTTATAGCTACTGTACATCGGTACATGATAGACACCAAAGTGATTAACCTGGTCCTTCATATTGGGCATATTATCCTCTACGAAATGGACTGCATTTAAAGGGCCACCAGCATACAAAGAATCCAACGACCAGATAGTAACAGCAGTACCCGCGGTGTGAACATGATTCACTTTCCTATCACATATTTCCGGGGCTTTACCATCAACTGCTTCAAAAGGGAAATATGCTATGAATAAAGGTCTAGCACTCTCCCTCTTGGTATTGTCACAACGATTAGGGTCGATGAAACTATTAATAGCCCCATGATTATCATGATTTGCACCGATATCATGATTACCAATAGCAAATATAAGTGGTATCATATGACCATCTGAGGTCTTAACCTTAGACCATTGCCATAAATATAAATCCCAAGTACATGCACAAGGGAACATACCATTATCATAGGCAACATCCCCACCATTTACTGCAAATAATGGTGATTGAGGGCCTATATGACTATTGATGTCTTCAACAACATCTGATGTACCAGTATCACCACCAATAACAAACTTAACTTCCCCATTTAAGGGAGATGTTCTAAAGGTATAGTTCTGAGGCCACAGGTCACCATCAGCCATCAGATTGAAGCTTACCACAGCATCAGGCAAGAGATCTGGTAGGTAGGCGGCAAAGACATGCCTTTGATCATGCTCATCTAAATGTGGTACTTCAAAGTTATCAGCGCCAATCACTCCCCCAATAGTATTATCATCTTTATGTGAGCTATACTTAACATAAATGGACTTGATACTTGTTGATGTGTGGACGTTGACGAACATACTATTAGACAAGTTTTGAGCAGCGGTAAGATAGACATGACAAGGAGTTCGTTGACCATTTGGACATGGTCTACGACCAAAAGAACGGAATAGTCTCGATGACCAGAATAATGTCCCTTCAAGAGGTATCCACCAACCAGGTGCTTGTGGATTATACACAGCAACACAGGAACCAGCTGATAGATAGGTTAGCAATATTCCAATACCAAGAGTTAATATCTCCGCTACATAGAACTTATAATTCCTGAACAAACTACGAATAGATCGTCTTCCAAAGGTATGGGCAACCTTAATCATTAATGGTACTGATGCTGCTATACCAACCAACCATACAAGTTTAGTATAACTCCACATCGTAGGGATTTGTATAGTATACCAACATTGTAGTGCTACTAAATACCCCAATACACCAAGAGACCATCTACAACAAGATGATGCTTTATTACGGATCAAGATTATCAATAATGTGTAGATAATGTATACTACTAGAGCGACAACATAGAAAATCCATGCATGCAAATCACCGAAGATGAATGCACCAAGTAGAACATATGCTACTAGTATCACAAGACATAACCAAGCATTGATAACTACCACTAATGCTGACCATGCCCAATAATATTTCGATCGATTGGGTCCAAGTTGGTCTTTAGGAAGTGGTGGTGCGGTTTCCAAGACGTAGCGACGATTAACAAAGTATATAGCAGAGTAGGATAAAATGCTTAATAGTAGACTACATGCTATCATAGTAGACGTAATAAGGATCAAGAAGCCTCTGTAGGTATACTTACTACCACCGAGACCAAATACCTCGTAGAATACCATTATGATGCATAAACTAACAATAAATAACATTGATGATTAACCCTAGTGTAGGGGTATACCCCATTGCACTACAGCCAACGTGACACGGTATACATTCCCTTTAGTATGCTAGCAGGATTATCACCACGCGGGAGACGCACAATGACCGAGATGTTCTAGCTGGGAGTCGAACCTCCGCGGCAAACGTTATATCGGGTATGGCAGCGGAGCGACGCTCAAATACAGCGCAAGGCTCGGGAAAGGCAGTAGTTCCGAAGAGCTATGAATCGGCAATTACCAACGTCTGATATGCTGTTCCATCACAGCACTTGGAGTACTGGTACAAGAGAAACAGGCGGAAGGAGAATGAGAGCAGCAAGTATGGGTGATAGTAATAACAATATGGGAGGGGGCTTATTCTAAGCATAATATTAGGTCTACCATCACCTGATAATCATTTATCGATGGACTTCCCTCATACCTTTTATGGTCATTATGAGGATATAGGTCCTAAGGATAGGATGGAGGATGCTCCTATGTTACATGAATTCCAGGACCATACTGGGGGTAATATGCTACTCTTCGGGTAAGTGATGATGATATTGTTGTTAAGGTATATTTGGTGTTTTTGATGGACATGGTGGGCCAGGAGCTGCTTATTTTGCAAGGGATAATATATATAAGTTCATAATAAATGGACTAGAAAAAGAAGAGGATCGAGTTGATGCCTTTATTGATGGGTACTACTACACTTACTAAGTGGTAGTACATGATATTAGGTATAAGAGGACCGAGGAAGCATTGTCACAGTATTTAAAAGAAGATGAATTCCCTATACTCAAGGCTAAATATGATATTGATGATAATTATGAGGAACTGGTATGTCTCTGTAAGAGTGCTGTACAACATCAAACGTTTTTAGGATAAGGATTATCCAGTGTTATCCTCTGGTACTACTGCATGTGTATGTATGTTGGATGCCTCTCGGAAACCTGCTACATTAACTGTAGCCAATCTTGGTGATTGTAAAGCAGTATTGAATAGAGGGGGCAAGGTAGTACTAATATACTACAACTGCATATAGTAATGATCTAATACATGTAGGCGATATGTTTGACAAACTGTCATAATCTTAAAGACCCATTACCAGAGGAGAGGGAACGAGTGATGCCTTACTTCAATAATGGGGTTTTGGGAGACTATCTCTTTGGGATAGCCGTACTACTAACGTGTCTATTATTACTACTCTTCATGCTACTCTCATGATCATTAGGTCACACGATCACTCGGTGACTTGGTAGTGGCGACAGGTGAAAAGAATGAGGGATTGCTGAGCATACCAGAGGTTGTAGAGGTAGACGTAGAACCAGTAGATAGGTTCCTAATCATAGCCAGTGATGGTATATTCGAAGTTATGGATCCACAGACTGCGGTAGAGACGGTAAGCATGAAGACTATAATAATGGTGTGTTATGATGGTTCATTGATCCTAGTAGGTACGATTACATCTACTAGGTAGGAGATCTACACCAGGATCAGCAGCGTATACGTTGGTAAAGCAAGCATTGGCTAGAGGCACTGTGGATAATGTCTGTGCTATTGTTGTTATGTTACATGATTATCGATTTGGCTTGAAAGCATTGCTCACGGGTGGTATTAAGAAGGAGCATTTGCATGGTACAGGTGATGAGGATGACTATGATGATGATAATGATGAGTTTGATATTTATAGGAGGATGGATAATGATACCAGTAGCGAAAGGTAATATTAATATTACTTGTATTATCTTCTAATGCCTTATACTCAGACATGGTCGTACATATACCACCCTTTACTGATCAACGCTTATGCTTTTGTACGATTCGCCCTCTGGGTTTATAGTACTCTACCTCATCATCATTATACAGTGTTGGGTTATTCTAATACTATGATCATCTCAGTGTATTCTCCATCTATTCCTTGATCACTAAAAGATGTCTTCTGATGATAATGTGGTAGTATTTGTCGTAGAGTCAGAAGTTGATAAGTATGGAGAGGAGATCTCCCCTACTCTACACAAACTACTACCACAAAAAGCTACCTTAATGTAGCTGCTTTAATGATGCCTTTCTTCAATGTCTCATTAACAGATACGGACATAGGTTGGAGGACTTCACGAGGCAGATGCCTCAGTTACCTGCTCACAACAGGTGTATGGTCCTATGGGCAGCGGGAGATCCTCGTGTCGTGGCTGTAAGTCGGGAGGAATAGTCAAGTGGTATTTAGGCTTCTCTCTCAATCGTATGGTCGTGAGTTCAATTCCTGCTACCTCAGAGTCTTTTCCAACATTATGGTATGGATAAGCTGTCCTGGGTTCACTCCCTCTCAGCTGGTGTCGACAGCCTCGTCCCTGTTCTCGTGTCCAATAATCTTGCAGATAAGATAACTCTCACAAACGCCCGAGGTGCTTTCTCTAAGAGCTTGGCTGAGTAAGGCGAGGATAGCAGTAAACTAATGATGATGATGATTATGGTAGATACTCTCTCATGTGTATGTTGCATTTCAATAAGAAAGTTCCTATGCTACAAAGACTTCAGAAAGATAAGGTATGGCGTAAATTTAGAATGCCCGTTTTAAGAGGGAAGACTGTTGGATTCGTTGGTTTCGGCAGTATAGCACAAGAGACTGCTAAAGTGTGCAGACCCCTTGGTAAGTCCTCTGTAATAATGGACACATCATCATGTTCTATCTTCCAGGGATGAGGATCCTTGCATTACGTAGTCGTATAGATGATGGCCCTGGTAGCGATTTAGCAGATGAGGTACTCAATAGTGGAGTACTTGAACAGAAGAACAAGGTAATCAGCAGACTAATGATCATCATGGGGTGATGTTACCTTATTAGTTGTTCCGTGAATCGGACTTTGTCATATGCTCCCTCCGTGGTACGCCGAGTACTGACACTTTTGTGGTTCTCACGTAAGTGATTCACGACTCGGGTTCAATCCCGGCATGTGGCATTTTAGGAATTTGCATTAATGTGTCCAACATCAGTATTCATATCAATCGGTAGGGGAGTATGTGTAGATGAGGCGGCACTGTACAAAGCCTGAGCACTCCTCATCGTGGTCCAGCATCAGCGGCATTGGATGTTTTCGAATCCGAACCCCTCAGGGAAGACTCTAAGCTGTGGAGTCTAGGACCTGATATGTAGGAGATGATAGTCTTCGACCCAGGTTCGATTCCCACTACCTCCATTATTATGTAGGTTCTTGATGAGCTCCCACTGTGCTGACTTCACCGATGATTATCTGCCTCTTACCGTCGATATGTTCAACAAACTCCTCAATGCATTCAGCAGTGGTACTCCAGCAAAGGACCTACCGAACCAAGTCAACGTATCCTCTGGGTATTGAAATGATTTTCCTGTCAATGTCTCTTATCCTCTTATGGATGTTGAGTGTTTGGTTGCTGTAATTGGGTGTACTTGTGATAGGAATTATGATGTTCCATATACCATGTATAGATGATGAAGAGGAGGAGAAGGAAAGGGACACATTCATCACTGGACTTAGTGAATATGCCTGTTCATCATCATCATCACATAGTAGCTATGATGGAGCTATTCTCTGTGATAACGATGAGCTCACACCATCATTGGTCTCTAACAAGTCATGGACGGTAAGACGCCCCTTCCCTTACCATCATCATAGTACTCCTTCAGATGGTTGATGATAGAGTAGATAATGAAGATGATGATTATAATGATGATGACGAGGGTTATCTTACCTCGGGGGGTCATGATATCCTCAATTCAGCTAAGGATACTACCATCCACGAGGAGAGGCAAAGAAGGTTGGCCCTCATGCTCAGAGAGAGACTACCTGGTAAGCAGTATTGCTACTCGAGGAGTGAGGTCCCATCACAGACCACACATGGGCAGCAACCGTTGAAGACTTGTTACGTACACCACCCAGTAGTGGTACTGTAGACTGGCGGCGGCACACACGTGGGAGCTTACTCACCACATTACAGTAGGAATAGTTATACTTATAGTACAGACTGCTGTTTGTAGGTCTCATCATGGTGAGGGTAGTGTAAATGGTGGTGGGGGTGGGGGTATTAATCTATCAGACTTGGTCACAGAAGATAGTGTTGTGATATCATCATCATCATCTGAGGAGAAGGAGGATGAGGAGACCTCAGAGAAGGCTTCAAGTAGGGATGTTATTGTTTGGTGCTGCAACTGCTGATCATTATTACTATCAGATGCAGGGAGCAGTAGTAAATGTTCATCCTTGGATGAACTAGTATGCATGGTCCTACGTGATATGGGATGCTGTAGTGGAGTAGCGGTAGTAGCATCAACATCTACGGTAGGAGCTGATGATGATGATAGACGTCATCCTCACGTTTGGGTCATGCAACAACCCTTCAGTTATCTGCCGCGGCATCAGTGGTCGATATTAATGACATTGAGGGGTTCACTAATACCTCAACAATGAGTTCACTCTTATCCTTGTGCCGGAAGTAGTGAGTTGAGAATTATATCGCAGGTTCGATCCTATCACCATGCATTTATGGTAGGCATCCTGTAGCTGCAGCATTTATGGGTTGCCTTGTGGTATACCATCTTACGGGTATTGCCACGAGAGGGCTACTACGGAGACAGCGTCGACTCCGGCGGGATTGCTTTCCACTTATACTACCGACTCGAGGAGCTTCTTCTTGTGCAAGGGCGTCTTCGTCGTCATCGTCGTTGTCGTGGATGATTAGGAGTATTTTGACTGTGATTGGAGGTAACAACAACTTGTCGTTATCATTGCTCAGAGTATACCCTTTATAAGGTACAGGAGGAGTAGTAGTACCATCGTATCCATCAGAGTTGGTTAGAAGCATAGACATCATACTTCATTAGTATTGTTGAGTACAGTTAAGTACATCACTGTGAGGATTGAGCCCCGTCCAGATCTTAAGGTCCGGGAATGGGTTCTCCGCCTATCAATTCTGCTTAATGATTTTATCCTGTCCTTAAGAAGAATGATAGTGTTATATGAGTGTCTTAATAAACTGGGTATTGCTTCTTACTGTGTTTCTCAGGAGGCTACTGTATCAGCTTTCAGAATGCTAAGCTTCGGAGCTTCGGAACACGACGATGGTTATCAGTAATGAATGATGCAGCAGTAGCAGTAGCAGCAGCCATATAGAAAGGAGACAGTTTTTGTGTCGGTCCAGGACCACGAGACAGCTCCTTGTGTGAGGTGTTCATATAGACTGTGATGCTCATATCTATTGTCGCTAGTCTCATGTTGATTCCCTGCAGCTCATCGTACTAGAGGATGTTTGCTTTTTTCACGTATTTTGTGTACGCGTGCGGCCCAAGCGAGTGTGATTGGTGACGCAGTAGGAAGTATTGCGTTAGGTTTTTAGCTTCCTCGAGGAACTGTCTTATCAGCTGTAGGGCTTAGTAATCGAGTTATTTATTGTGATTGTTGATGCTATCTACTACTACTGCTCACGCTAATATCATCATCAACAACTCAGCAGTGCGGTATGCCATTACTACTACTACTAGATTATTGTGTATTACATCCCCTCTTGTTAAGAACAATATGAATGGTAATGGTGGTGGTGGTAGTTTTGGGGCTTCGCCACTAGTCTTAAAAAGAAGTATGTCATCATCATCAACAGCAGCAGCAGCCCGCGCAGTATCATCCTCATCCCATAAAGATTTGGATTACGATTACCTTGTGATAGGTGGTGGTAGTGGAGGTAAGTAGTCTTCATCGTGACTATTCAACCTTTCTATTATGTCCTGCTATATGAAGGTATGTCATCCTCTCGTCGGGCTGCTGGATATCGTACACCCGAGAATCCTCTTAAGGTTGGCCTTATCGAAAGGGATGTTGACCATATGATTGGCGGAACATGTGTCAATGTTGGATGTGTGCCTAAGAAGGTAGTAGTCATCATTTGACTTGTTATCTCCCCCATCATTCTTCCTTAGTTGACCTGGAGCGCAGCTACTATGAATGAGACCTTCCTTCATGATGCCTGCCATTATGGTTTCCAGACCGATGAGGGTCGTAATGCACCAGCAATGGATTACACTACTTTCAAAGCTAGAAGGGACAAGTATCTCGCCAGACTGCGTGGTATATACCAAAATAACTTGAAGAATGCTGACGTAGGACCATTGGGATATCATTACTGCGAACATACTCACAAGTGTCCGTTGTTCAGGTTGACTTGATCCGTTCCGCTGGTCGTATTGTTGGTAATGAGAGTGATAACGATAAGGTGACCATCCAGGTAGGTGGTATCCTTACCATTATTACTAGTGAGGTGGTATTGTCATTAGCTCGATGATGGTAAGAAGCTTACTGCTGGTCACGTCCTTATCGCTTGTGGAGGCCAGCCTGAAACCCCTGATATTGAAGGGAAAGAGTTTACTATAGACTCTGATGGTAAGTAGTTGCATGACTGCAGTCTCAAACATATGAAGGTATGATGATACCGTTCAGGTTTCTTCCAATTGGAGAAGATACCTAAGAGTGTTGTAGTAGCTGGTGCTGGTTATATCGCTGTAGAGTTGGCCGGCATCTTTAATGCCTTTGGTGCCGATACCACACTTACTGTTAGACGTCATAAGGTTGGAACTACCTACTTATAATACACGTCTATCACTATTGCTATTATCATTAGGCTTTACGTACCTTCGATGAAGATATATCCGATGAATTGATGGTACAGATGAAGAAGTCCGGAATGAAGTGATATCCTCATATCGGTATTAGAGTATAACCCCTCATGCTTTAGGGTGGTGACACAGTTTGTCCCCAAGAAGGTTACTAAGGATGAATCTACGGGTATCCTCACTCTTGTTGCCGAGTCGGGGGCCGAGATCTCTGCGGAATGTATTGTTATGGCCGCTGGTAGAAGTGTTAAGCCTAATGTCGAAGCTATCGGATGTAAGGGTATTATGGACCTCACTCCTAAGGGGTATATCAAGGTAATGCTCCTGTATGTCCAACCTCTAGATTGATGATTACCACTACTTTGAGTAGGTTGATAAGTATCAGAACACCTCCATGCCACGGGTATACGCTGTTGGGGATGCTGTTGGCAACTTTGAGCTCACTCCGGTCGCTATTGCTGCTGGTAGAACTTTATCAGACCGGTTATTTGGACCCTTCAAGGTGAGGAGTATTCGAATGTCCTACTATTCACTCATGTTGTTGTTGTTGTTGAATAGGATACAAGTAACCTGTACATAGACTATGAGACTATTCCTACTGTGGTTTTTGCCCATCCACCGATTGGTACTTGTGGTCTCACAGAAGCTCAAGCCGTTGAGAAGTATGGTAAGGATAATCTGAAGGTAATTTATTAAACTCTTTTCTCATCATAGTTACTCTATCATCATCATCACTATTCAGATCTATCGTTCAAGGTTTGTGAATCTCTATTATGGTATATTCCAAGTAGAGCCCTCTGATAAGCCAAAGACTTTGGTAAAAGTAATCTGTACCGGTCCAGAGGAGAAGGTTGTTGGTCTTCATGTCATCGGTATGGCTGCTGATGAGCTTTTACAAGGCTTTGCAGTAGCTATGAGGATGGGTGCCACTAAGGCTGATCTTGATCGTACTGTTGCTATACATCCTACTGCTGGTGAGGAGATTGTTACTCTAGCACCTTGGGGACCTATGTCTAAGCATTAGATCAACACACCTCGTAGTAGTAGTACTATGTTTTAAAGTGTACGGGAGCTTGTCAATCATCAAACTATAGCGGATAAAGTGATTAAAAGTCGCCAGCGAAAGAATGAGCTTCCTGTTTAATAGTGTCGATTTGTGTTCTCCCCATGGATCTAGTCTAGTGTGGGTCTATCCTGTGTGGCATCATAGGTAGGATCATGCAGTTACCGAGCCTATTGGGTTATAGAGTTCTACTATGTTATACGTAGGAAGTGGAGGAATCAGTTCCATAGTAGATAGAATTATCCATTACTTGTTGTGATTGTTGATGCTATCTACTACTACTGCTCACGCTAATATCATCATCGACAACTCAGCAGTGCGGTATGCTATTACTACTACTACTAGATTATTGTGTATTACATCCCCTCTTGTTAAGAACGATATGAATGGTAATGGTGGTGGTGGTAGTTTTGGGGCTTCGCCACTAGTCTTAAAAAGAAGTATGTCATCATCATCAACAGCAGCAGCAGCCCGCGCAGTATCATCCTCATCCCATAAAGATTTGGATTACGATTACCTTGTGATAGGTGGTGGTAGTGGAGGTAAGTAGTCTTCATCGTGACTATTCAACCTTTCTATTATAACCTACTATATGAAGGTATGTCATCCTCTCGTCGGGCTGCTGGATATCGTACACCCGAGAATCCTCTTAAAGTGGGTCTTATCGAAAGGGATGTTGACCATATGCTCGCTGGAACATGTGTCAATGTCGGTTGCGTGCCTAAGAAGGTAGTCCTAAGTATGGTTTTATGCATCGGATCGTAATTGCCTCCCCTTAGCTAACTTGGCATGCTGCTACTATGAATGAGATCTTCCATCGAGACGCTGGTCATTACGGTTTCCAAACTGCGGAAGGCGGCCGTAACGCTCCTGTGATCGATTACAGCACGTTCAAAGCTAGAAGGGATGAGTACCTTGCTGGTCGGCGGACTTTCTATCAAAATCTACTCAAGGAAGCTGGGGTAGGATCGTTGGGGTATTAATATCTTAGACACTTTGGATCTCTCTTATCATTCAGGTTGACTTGATCCGTTCCGCTGGTCGTATTGTTGGTAATGAGAGTGATAACGATAAGGTGACCATCCAGGTAGGTGGTATCCTTACCATTATTATTAGTGAGGTGGTATTGTCATTAGCTCGATGATGGTAAGAAGCTTACTGCTGGTCACGTCCTTATCGCTTGTGGAGGTCAACCCGAAACCCCTGATATCGAAGGGAAGGAGTTTGTGATTGATTCTGATGGTGAGTAGTTGCATGACTGCAGTCTCAAACATATGAAGGTATGATGATATTGTTCAGGTTTCTTCCAATTGGAGAAGATACCTAAGAGTGTTGTAGTAGCTGGTGCTGGTTATATCGCTGTAGAGTTGGCCGGCATTTTTAATGCCTTTGGTGCCGATACCACACTTACTGTTAGACGTCATAAGGTTGGAACTACCTACTTATAATACACGTTTATCACTATTGCTATTATCATTAGGCTTTACGTACCTTCGATGAAGATATATCCGATGAATTGATGGTACAGATGAAGAAGTCCGGAATGAAGTGATATCCTCATATCGGTATTAGAGTATAACCCCTCATGCTTTAGGGTGGTGACACAGTTTGTCCCCAAGAAGGTTACTAAGGATGAATCTACTGGTATCCTCACTCTTGTTGCCGAGTCGGGGGCTGAGATCTCTGCGGAATGTATTGTTATGGCTGCTGGTAGAAGTGTTAAGCCCAATGTCGAAGCTATCGGATGTAAGGGTATTATGGACCTCACTCCTAAGGGGTACATCAAGGTAATGCTTCTGTATGTCCAACCTCTAGATTGATGATTACCACTACTTTGAGTAGGTTGATAAGTATCAGAACACCTCCATGCCACGGGTATACGCTGTTGGAGATGCTGTTGGCAACTTTGAGCTCACTCCGGTCGCTATTGCTGCTGGTAGAACTTTATCAGACCGGTTATTTGGACCCTTCAAGGTGAGGAGTATTCGAATGTCCTACTATTCACTCATGTTGTTGTTGTTGTTGTTGTTGTTGTTGTTGTTGAATAGGATACAAGTAACCTGTACATAGACTATGAGACTATTCCTACTGTGGTTTTTGCCCATCCGCCGATTGGTACTTGTGGTCTCACAGAAGCTCAAGCCGTTGAGAAGTATGGTAAGGATAATCTTAAGGTAATTTATTAAACTCTCCTCTCATCATAGTTACTCTATCATCATCATCACTATTCAGATCTATCGTTCAAGGTTTGTGAATCTCTATTATGGTATATTCCAAGTAGAGCCCTCTGATAAGCCAAAGACTTTGGTAAAAGTAATCTGTACCGGTCCAGAGGAGAAGGTTGTTGGTCTTCATGTCATCGGTATGGGTGCTGATGAGCTTTTACAAGGCTTTGCAGTAGCCATGAGGATGGGTGCCACTAAGGCTGATCTTGATCGTACTGTTGCTATACATCCTACTGCTGGTGAGGAGATTGTTACTCTAGCACCTTGGGGACCTATGTCTAAGCATTAGATCAGCTGATGTTTTGGTTTCTTTTAGTTTCTTATCATTCACATTATAGCAGATTATGTGATTCAGATTCACCATTTCAGAGTGAAATTCCTCTTCATTGAAGGTGGTTTGAGTTGAGTGTTTCTTTCTTACATAGTCAGCAGTCTGGATAGGTTCCTCGCCGATGGAATGACCTCGCATGCTATCGTCGACATGAACTCGACAGTTGGTTAGGTTGAGGCGGATTGATGTCTTGATGAGTATCCCGTAGTATCCCATCGGTCTGACCGACCGGCATACTAGAGACTTTGACCGTAGGCGGGGTTCCGGGTACCAGACCCTTATCAGATCATATTAACGGGCTCTTCACGAGGGTATGATTGTAGTATGGCGGTCGCTCCGGTTGGGTCTGGATATGGACAACTCTGACCCTCAGCCAAGACGTATGGGTTGTGGGTTGTTCTGGAAAGGGGGTCAGCGCTTCATGTTGCGATGCTGCAGTGGTAATCTAAACTTGATGGGCACGAAGAAGCCACCTTCCACTTCTGTCCGTCGGACGTTCATCCTCACTCTATCATCATGTATGCTCGGGGCGCTCCTTTCTACCGGGTAGTAGTACCTTGAGATGCAGTAGTGAGGGGGCGGTCGTAGGTACTGGTATGGCACTATACAGGAGAGGAGGTGCCCTCCTCCTAGTCTACCGTTCACATTTAGAGAGGATCATGCTGCAAACTCAATAGCGGAACAAGGACAGGTTGATACTCTGTTCAATGGTGATGGTCGTAAGTGGAGTACTCAGATTGGGGGTAGCGAGCTTAGAGGGTCGATGCCCTTGAACATAACATGTAGAATATCAACAGCTATCCTCAGCAAACAGTAAGGTATCTCCATTATGCCTAGTCGATAAGACCACCACCACGTTCAGCATACCTCCAGTTTATATCCCATCTGATAATGATAAGAATCAACAGCTTCGCCTGCGCATACCTCAGGCTATCTACCAGACTATGGAGTCAGCAGTGATGCCTCTTAGGATGGCACAAGTAATCTCCATTGTTGTCAAGTGTGGGGATCAGTTACTAAGGTCGTCTCGAGATGGTCATCTCTCCATCCATCATGGGAGTATACATTCTTTGATGCTAATGATCGATGGAGCTTCCTCATGTCTCTCGCGGACAAGGCGGAAGGGACAACGGGCAAACTTTTCAACCGAATCAGTGGTAGTCTCGACAGTACTGCAGGATGATCGAAAGAACGGGCCCACCTCTCGAAATCTTCCAGCGTATGTGAATCTCAGACAAACTCAGGTACCATTGGAGAGAGCTCGACGAGGTCTCTCCAGTGGTAGCTGAATCAATTCCAGACTCTTCATACTCGAGTCGAGTGTCTTACTTGTCGAGTAACTCGACAAGGTATGACGATATGGATAAAGGAGGGGGAAGTGCTGGCAGATTTCATTTCTGCGGTGTTTCCGTGGTCTATCGATGGTCCAACTTAGCAATATGCAACGATATTTCATCATTTGGCATTGGAACGGTAAACCTGGTTGGGGCGCCTATGCCATCGTGCGTTCAACTTGGCGATATGCAACGATATTTCATCATTTGGCATTGGAACGGTAAACCTGGTTGGGGCGCCTATGCCATCGTGCGTTCAACTTGGCGATATGCAGCGATATTTCATCATTTGGCATTGGAACGGTAAACCTGGTTGGGGCGCCTATGCCATCGTGCGTTCAACTTGGCGATATGCAACGATATTTCATCATTTGGCATTGGAACGGTAAACCTGGTTGGGGCGCCTATGCCATCGTGCGTTCAACTTGGCGATATGCAACGATATTTCATCATTTGGCATTGGAACGGTAAACCTGGTTGGGGCGCCTATGCCATCGTGCGTTCAACTTGGCGATATGCAACGATATTTCATCATTTGGCATTGGAACGGTAAACCTGGTTGGGGCGCCTATGCCATCGTGCGTTCAACTTGGCGATATGCAACGATATTTCATCATTTGGCATTGGAACGGTAAACCTGGTTGGGGCGCCTATGCCATCGTGCGTTCAACTTGGCGATATGCAACGATATTTCATCATTTGGCATTGGAACGGTAAACCTGGTTGGGGCGCCTATGCCATCGTGCGTTCAACTTGGCGATATGCAACGATATTTCATCATTTGGCATTGGAACGGTAAACCTGGTTGGGGCGCCTATGCCATCGTGCGTTCAACTTGGCGATATGCAACGATATTTCATCATTTGGCATTGGAACGGTAAACCTGGTTGGGGCGCCTATGCCATCGTGCGTTCAACTTGGCGATATGCAACGATATTTCATCATTTGGCATTGGAACGGTAAACCTGGTTGGGGCGCCTATGCCATCGTGCGTTCAACTTGGCGATATGCAACGATATTTCATCATTTGGCATTGGAGCGGTAAACCTGGTTGGGACGCCTATGCCATCTTTGCGAACACTGCAGGAAGTTGGATCATGGATAGATGCAAATACTGCAAAATGGATTCTGCCAGCACTTCCCTCTCTACACGTTTTCTTCGTTTTGGGGGTATAACTCGGCGAGTGGTGAGAGTATGGAAGTAATCAACACCATTGGAAAGAGCTACCCAAGTGCCTTGAGATGGTGGCTGATATTCGCATGCGTTGAGAAATTACGGGGGTGGGGCCATTTGTTCTCGATCATCCTGTATGTCCTCAATTGGGTTGGAATGCATCAGGTTCGAACATAAGAGATGCTCTGTATAAGTTAGTTAGAATGGATGAAGTCGGCGGTCTACAGCTCCTGGGTGTCGTCCTATCGGAGCTGTTCCGATACAGTGTCATATACCTCAATGGTCATACTGTGGGGAGAGGCACTCATGGGTGGTATATTCCGCTCGCTTGGGATTGGCAACGCTTTTGGTTTCTACACCAGGATTGAAATATAGGTTCATTTTCCCTCGGCTGAGCTGAGAGTATTAATATTGTCAGCAAGATGTGCACATTCTCCAGCACTGAGCTAAACTTAGCATAATGCCGTAGAACTAGGTTGTAGTTACTGATCGGGCCGCCCGCATCGGGCGTGGGGCTGCTCAGGCTACAGCGACTCTTGTCATGTGCAATCCATCCTGATATTATGACCGCTCCCTTCCATATGGGTTCCCTTATTAGGTGGTGTATATTTTGATATCGATACACGATGTAAGGAGAGCATAGAGGACCTCCTCCGCCCTAGTGATGACCTGGTCTTTAGTTTTGGTAATATGCCTACACAACAGGTGATGGTCAACTGCCGTGTGTAGTACTCTAATTTGCCGTAGGTCTCCCAATGGGGGTTTGCCGCATCCCCACGGAACCCTATACTTAGGGAGCTCTTCGAGACAGCAATTGAAAAGATACTTTCCCATGATGTAGTATCGATCGATGGTCGGGGCTCTCTTCCACTGTACGTGTATGGTTCAGGAGGGTCGGGGCATTCCTAAGAGAATTGACGAGTTTGTGTCGATGGAGTTGATGGATAGAACCGTGAAGAAAGCGGTGGGAGTAGCTAGTTTGCATGCTGGTATGGAATATAAGACGAATGATGGAGTAATAGCATAGTGGTGTTGGCTTGAACTGTGTATTGGAGGTGTGAGGTTCAAATCTACCACTTATTACTTTTACCATACATGTTTATGTGGTAGCTCGTCAGATATCAGTACGAGTATTGCCACAAGACGGGGGTGAGCATTGGAATGGTAGAGTTGACTTCAAGTATGGTGGTTATGAGAAGGACTTGAAGAAGTGTGGTATTCGGCATTGGCACTATGGCTGGGGCCGATAGGAGAACAGCAGCATGTTGCCGAATGCTTGGTCTCTATAGTGTTCATTTTGGGACAGTGTTGTGTTGGAGTGAAGGGTAGGAAAAGTGGAACTCTGATAAAGAGGTTAGGATAGTCGCACTAGTACAGTCTATTGCATTCTGGAGAGCCTATTTGGATGTGAATCTTGAGGTTGGCATGGTAAGATACGAAGTTGGTTAGATTGGCGTCCGACCATTCCACTCATGTCGAGTTCATCTACTCCAGGAGGAAGGTTTGTAGAAGCCTCGTGTGGAGTGTCCTTGGATAGCTCGACAGAGAGTCCTGTTGAAAAACAGAGAGTATGTGGGATGTTTAACGTCTTACCGGCAGCCCAACAGGAACAGGTAGTATCATACTTCACTCGGGATATGGATACCAGGTGGATAAGTCGCGGCTATTAGGATAGGATGATAGAAGGGATGTGGGAGTATACAGTGAGAGGACATTTTGCAGTTCAGGTCCGACAACATGTTCAGGAGTATGCTAAAACGTTGAATAAACAACAGCCTAACTCGACTAAGAAGGGCATTGCTTTGTAATAGGGATAGATGGGAATACCCGTTCGCTATCACGGCACGGCATAGGTATCAGTTCTGGAAGACTATGGTATATCACCTATATGAGCATGCAGTGGAACAGAAACAAGTTCGACCGCCCCGGGCCTCGCCCCCTCCAGCAGCCCCACAACAACAAGCGGCGGTGGTGGCCTCAACGAGTAGTAGCCCTCAACAGTCAACACCACAGTCTGTCTACCAGCCTCAGTAAGTTGGGTATACTATTCGGTACATATGCTTCCTTTACAGACAGCAACAACAACAAGCAGCTATGTATATGATGTATCAACAGCAACAGCAGCAGCAAGCAGCTATGGCTTATCAACAGGTGCAGGGATCGAACTTGTGGTAGAGGGTATACTCACTCAGGCGTGGTATAATCAACAGAGGAGTGCTGTGGGGGGTCCTGCGGGGCATTATAATCAACCTGGTGCGGCCGCGGTGATTCAAAATGCTATGAAGAATAAAGTAAAATATGACTGGTGGTGGGGTAGATCCGGGGACCTTCCGATGCTCAGGCGGCAGCCAGTCAACATCCCCCTGGTATGCTGCAGTGGGTGCAGCGATTGTATGCTTCCCTCGGAGGCAGACCCAGCATGAGTCAGGAGCTCAGAACTGCTCGATTATCGGCAGCAGATACTGTCGTGAAGGAGATCACCAACAAGTTAAAAGCCGAAGGTGACGGAAACCCTGGTCTATGAGGCTTATTGATAATCGTAGTAGATCTTTGTGATGGGGACTGAGATGTAGACTCTTAGTGAATTGTTTAAGTGATACATAGTATTCCAACTCTGAATGGCTAGATCTGGGCGGGAGTGCTCTATGTGGGGAAGTTTTGATGAATTAATGCGTGTATGAGTAGGCACATACTGGACGACTGACTGGAACCATTATCCGGTACCACCAGAAAGGGATATAGATGCTAGAGTCGATCCGAAGTTGTGGGAACAGGTATACACTACAAGCCGTCAACTCCTTGAATGCTGTTGTTACAGGAAGCAACATCCCTAATGGTCCCCTCACCTAAGAGATCTCGTCGAGGAGGTAGCCCAAAGAAGAAGTCCCCTTCTAGACGCTTGTCTGGTGAGCTACACTTATTTAGTCTTGTAAACCTGTGCGAATCGCCCATTATTCGATCGGAATGCACCGATCCCTGCATACTCTTAGATGTTGAATGCAACTCTCCCCTTTCAGATGGTAATAGAGATTTCATACCGTTGAGTGATGGGCTTGCAGCAGCAACAACAAAAACAGGTTCCTATAGTGTAACGTTAACTCCAGGGGTCAATAAGAAAGGACAGGCGAACAAGCGGAAAGGGAAGCTACAAGCTAAGGCGAAGAAGGTGATGATTACCATACCACACTTGTCCCAACGAAGCTATCTTCATAGGGTGCCATATCAATGATGCAAGGGGCGACTACACAGGAGGAGCTAAGGCGACGACAACAGAGGATGGAACGATTTAGTAAGCAAGGGTCCTTCTACACATCAGAGGGATGAGGTTTCATTGAGAAGTCATTGATGAAAACCATGCAAGGGTCTCGTACAATAGTCATTCTGGAAATCATTGCTGTATGACGTAATTCGAAAGTTGCCTTTATTGCAGAGGCAGATGAAGCTGCATCGAGTTCCTCAGTTGTTGGAGGGCTTTGGACTGATGATGCCAACGGGTAAGCGGCGATTGCTGCCATGAGTTGTGTATCAATTCTATTGTCAGATCGGCAGCACCCCGCATCGCTCCGCTGGACGTCAACTTCTCCTTCGGAGTTGATGAGTCGGAAGTGTTTGACCAGACCGTCGACTTTGTGGTTGTGGGCACTTGCCAGAAAATGGAGAAAAGCTACCTCCGTTTGACGAGCCAACCCGATCCAAGTCTGGTAAGTTGAGGTCCGGTCAACATTCAAGGTATAGGGAATTGTAGTGATGATCATTAATAGTATGCATAACGCCACCCGAGTTCGATCCCGGCATGTTGCAAATTAATCCATTAATCAGGTGCGGCCCCCAGCGGTCCTAAAGAAGTGGATGGAGCATCTAAGGGAGTTCCATCGAAGCAAATCTCGTGACTGGGAGTACATTGGAGAACAGCTTAAGGTAGTTTGGCGTCGTTTCCTCTATCTTCATC